GCTGCCGCTGGATCCGGCCCTTGCTGCGCTCCCGGAAGTCCACCTGCGCCTCGTTGTACCTGGTCATCACGTCCACGAACTTGCGGGACAGGACCGAGTGCTGGGGACAGGGACAGGGGCTGGGGACACCCCAGAGTGGCACCTCCTTGGCCCCTTGGGGACAGGGGCCAGTGCTGGGGACAGGGACAGGGGCTGGGGACACCCCAGAGTGGCACCTCCTTGGCCCCTTGGGGACAGGGGCCAGTGCTGGGGACAGGGACAGGGGCTGGGGACACCCCAGAGTGGCACCTCCTTGGCCCCTTGGGGACAGGGGCCAGTGCTGGGGACAGGGACAGGGGCTGGGGACACCCCAGAGTGGCACCTCCTTGGCCCCTTGGGGACAGGGGCCAGTGCTGGGGACAGGGACAGGGGCTGGGGACACCCCAGAGTGGCACCTCCTTGGCCCCTTGGGGACAGGGGCCAGTGCTGGGGACAGGGACATTGGACACCGCAGGCGTGGCATGTCCCCACCCCAGGGGACAGGACCTGGTGCTGGGGACAGGGACATGGGGCTGGGGACACCCCTGGAACAGCACCTCCTTGGCCCCTCAGGGACAAGGACAGGGACATGGGGCTCGGGACACTCCCAGATGGCACCTCCTCAGACCCCTGGGGACAGGACCCAGTGCTGGGGATGGGGACAGGGACATGGGACTGGGGACACCTCAGAATGGCACCTCCCCACCCCCTTGGGGACAGGGGCCAGTGCTGGGGACAGGGACAGGGGCTGGGGACACCCCAGAATGGCACCTCCCCACCCCCTTGGGGACAGGACCCAGTGCTGGGGACGGGGAGGACACCGCGGGCACGGCATGCCCCAACCCCAGGGGACAAGACCCGGTGCTGGGGACAGGGATGGGGACATGGGACACCCTGGGTGTGGCATGTCCCCATGGGCCATTTTCCCAGGGGACAGGACGAAGGACAGGGGTGTGAGGCTGGGGACACCCCAGGCACAGGGTGTCACAGCCACTTGGGGACAGGACCAAGGACAGGGGTGTGAGAGTGGGGACATGCCAGGCACAGGAGATGGGGCAGGACGAGGTGTTAGGGCAGGGGACAGGGACATGAGACCCAGGGGACCCAGGAGATGGCATGTCCCAGCCCATAGGGGACAGGACAGGGTGTTGGGGACAGGGCAGAGGGACATGAAGCCCAGGGGCACCGCAGACATGGGACAGGGTGCTGCTGGGGACGGGGGTGGAGCTGGGACACCTGGGGACACCCAGGACATGCCACATCTGCAGCCTGTGGGTGACAAGGTGGGACAAGGTGCTCAGGACCTGGGAGTGGGGACAGGGGATGGAGCTGGGACAGGTGGGGACACCAGGACATGTCACATCTCCAGCCCATGGGGGACAGCGTGGGACAGGACCTGGGGGTGTGGGGTGGGGACAGGGGATGGAGCTGGGACACCTGGGGACACCCAGGACATGCCACATCTCCAGCCTGTGGGTGACAATGTGGGACAGGGTGCTCAGGACCTGGGGGTGGGGACAGGGGACAGATCTGAGACACCTAGGGACACCCAGAACATGCCACATCTCCAGCTCTGGGGTGACAGGATGGGACAGGACCTGGGGACACGGGGTGGGGACACTCCCAGGGACAGGAGCTCACCTGGGACTTGCGGATGCGGAGGTCGGCAGAGGACCGCGCCTCGTCCTGCTCGATGTTCCTCTCCATGCCTGGCGAGAGCCGCACCCCAGCCCCTCAGGGACCGTCCCCAGGGTCCCGGTGTCCCCAGCATCCCCTGCCCTTTCCGTGGGGACACCTCCCGTGGCGCTGGGGACGCGGTCACTCACTCTTCAGCTTGTTGCGGACGCTGTTGGCCATTTTCTTGATCTCCGCCGTCAGCTGCTCCAGGTCGTCTTTGGTCTCTGCGGAAAGCCACCGTGGGAATGTCACCGGGAAGGGGACCCGTGACCCCAGGAGGGAGGGGACAGTGGGGACATGGTGGCCATACTCTGCTCGGGGATGGGGGCCGAGAGGATGATGCTGTAGAGCTTCTTGGCCTCCTCCACGTTCTCTGAGATCTTGTCGATGTTCTGCCGGGTCTCCTCGATCTGCACGAGCCGGGGAGGAGGAGGAGGAGGAGGAGCATGGGGATGAGGGGGTCAGGAGCCAGCCCTGCGCCCCCTGTCCCCGCTCTGTCCCCCCCCTCACCTCCGCGAAGAACTCGTCCATGAACGCCGTGTTGTCCACCGCGATCTCCAGCTCCTCGGTGTCATCGTCCACATCCTGCTTCTGTGGGGTGTGGCGGGCAGTGATTGGGGGGACAACGGGGACCCCAGGGTGACACCCCCTTGAGTGCCTCTGGGGACACCCCCTGCCTGCACCCTGGTACCTCCCTGCCTGCACCTGGGGACCGCGGCAACACCCCCCTGCCTGCTCCTGGGGACCTCGGGGTGACATCCCCTGCCTGCACCCAGAGACCCTCCTGCCTGCACCTGGGGACACCCCCTGCCTGCATTTGGGGACCCCAGGGTGACACCCCCCTACCTGCACCTGGGGACCATGGGGTGACATTCCCTGCCTGCACCCAGAGACCCCCCTGCCTGCACTTGGGGACCACCATGGACACCCCCCTGCCTGCACCTGGGGACCTTGGGGTGACAGCCCCCTACCTGCACTCGGGGACCATGGGGTGACTTCCCCTGCCTGCACCCAGAGGCTCCCTGCCTGCACCTGGGGACACCCACTGCCTGCACCTGGGGACCCTGGGGTGACACCCCTCTGCCTGCATTTGGGGACCCCAGGGTGACCCCCCCCTGCCTGCCGCCGGGGCCCCTGGTGACACCCCCCGGGTGACAGCCACCCCGAGGGGACAGGGCGGCCACCAGCCCATCTCCACAGGGTTGGGAGGGGACAGGACCCTGGTGACAAAGGGGGGACATCTGCCGCGGGGGGGTGGGGACCGAGCCCGTGTCACATCTGGCAGCGCGCGGCGGGAATTAAAGGATTGCTGGGCTGGGCAGGGGAGGGGACAGCGACAGGGACAGCACGGGGACGGGACCGGGTTTTTATGGCCCCG